TAAGAAAACGCAGAGCAAAATAAAAACACGTCTGCACTGTATAAATTTGTATGTATATTTTCCTACTTTATCCTATACTTTAATAGAAATGAGAAAGCGAAAATAGGCCCATCAGGTGGCTCACCATCCGACTGGCCTCTGTATACCCATATGAATGCTATTTTTGGCAGTTATAAAAGTTACAATGTTGAGAAAATGGTGGAAGACAGCATTATAGGTGGGCATATTGAATTTATTAACATAAATGATATTTGTACATTTGGCGGTTGTATAATACATATGTATATATATACATACATATTTACAGATTGTGACGGCATCCAAAGTTCCTCTATCTCACAATTTATTGAGTCGGAAACAGATTTTGATGCTGAAATTTCGTTTCTGTCGGATATGTCCAATGCTGTCGAATCTCAGGAACTCATGGTAGCGTCTTCAATAATGCCGTCTGCAGCTGAATCCGGTTGCATTACCGATTCCGTGCCAATTGAAATATCACCACCGCCAACCCCGTCAACATCACGAGCAGCTAAAAAGAAGTTGAACGTACAAAAGCAAATATTAGTGCATATGGATAATATGGAAAAAGAGTTCAATGAAACAAAAGTGGAATTAGTAAATACAAACAAAATGATGATAGAAAAAAGTGATAAAATGATTGAACTTGAGACTGAAAAAAATGAAATGCTCAAATCATATGTAAACGATATGTCGCAAATAAAAGATGCGTTGCTTTACTTTTTAAGCAACCAGAAATAAAATTCCTAAGAGGATTCGAAAATTAAATTTGTCGTATAAAAATTGATTCAAATCGTTTAAGTTAATAAAATTTTGTAAATTACTTACCAAAGTGTAAAGAAAGTGCTTGGCGTATTTCTTCTGCCTTACTGTTATAGTCGAAACTTACTGCAGTTTCAGGACATTGGCGTCTTTTTTCTAGTTCTTGTGCAGCAGTTATCCATTTGTCGTTAACTTGGTCGTTATTTTCATTTAAAAAGTTATGAAGCGCACAGCTTGCTTTAATAATTAAATTAGCATTACCCATTTGGTTGTCGATACCTTTGCCAATGCGGCGGAAACGAGCTTTTAGCTGACCGAACGCATTCTCGACCACCCTCCGTGATTTCGATAAAACATAATTGAAACGTTTTTGTTCGGAGGTTTGTGAAAGGTGAAATGGGTATGGTTTCATAAGGGAATCCGAAAACCTAAAAGCAGAGTCACCGATAATAACAATAGGAATGTTGACGTTCGAGATTTTTTTTGTCATATCTTTGAGTAGGCGGCATTCCTGCAGTTGTTGCTTGAGGGTTGATTTTTCATAAATTTGGGAGTCGTTGCAACGACCTGGAGCTCCAACATTTATGTAAATGAAACGACACCTGCAATATCAATTCGTGTAAGATTAGTAGATATGATACTTTTCACCTTCTATGATACTAAAACTTACCTGGCGTCTACCAATGCTAATAATACGGTTGAGTACCACCCTTTATAGTTATGATAATCGATCGCATCTTCAGTAGAAGGGTGTATTTCAATATGGCAACCATCTAAAATGTATGTTTTTATTTGCATTGCCTCAAGGGTTCCACTAGGTTCAATAACTTACCAATCGCGCCCAGGCATTGTGGAAAGCCAAGAATTTCGAAACCTTTTACATACTCATTTATCTTTTCGGAGCTTAATGGGAAGTTTTTTAAATAAAGAGGCCAAAAAAACCTCCAAATTTCTTTGCAGAACTCAACTAATACTAACCCAACAGTGGATTTACCGACACCGAATAAATTCGCAATGCTTCGGTATTCTGCAGAAGATCCTAGGGCATACAATGCGATCGCCACTCTTTTTTCCAGTGGAATAGCCTTGCGCATATTTGTGTCTCTTCTTTGTAAACTTTTAACCATTTTACATACTATGTTGAAGGATTTCCTGTCCATTCGAAAATTTGCTTTAAAAAACGCATTTCCGTTACGTTGGCAATCCCATTCCCAGAAAGACTGAGTACGATTCTATAAAGAAAAAGCTATTCATTAATTTAAATTTTGAAGAGTATTATCCACTAACTTTAGTCCAACAAGATCTGAGTTCCAACCGCACTGAGATTGCTGCTTCCATCAGCATTGACTGCCGTTTTTTCAAATATGAAATTTTTAGCATTAAATACAGCATTTGTTTTTGAAAATACAAAATTTGCTTATTCGCGTTGCCCAAAACTGCATTTATGAATATAATCGCATCCAGGAGTTTTATTAAAAGAAAAATAAGTTTAATAAGTTGCATTTTGG